AAGAGGGAGAACAAAAGACTTAAGTAGTTCAATAAGTAACACTACCCCATACCACACTGATCTCTCCTTTTATTTGTGAGCAGCACTTTTACTCTTAATGATCTGCAATTCAAAAGTCAAAGTGGATACTTTTCAATTTTGGCCAACTGTTTTAATCTTCACAAGTTTCAAAACTTACCACTCCTGTATCTGGCACAGAGCCCTTTGCATTCTCAAAAAAAAAAAAAAAAAAGGACTGAGAGAAAACTGAAACATCCTTAAAAGACTATAAAGACTATTATAACGTGCCCTGCATTGCATCTGCACTTACCACTAAAACCACGTACTGCCAACACAAAATTCCAGTTTCTGTCCTTGTGTGCCTGCACGGGCTGTTTTAGTTTTGAGAGCGGGAAGGATGTAAAAGGGAAGGTGTCCAGTGAATAGTTATTCATTAAACGTCTTTACCTCCCTCACAAAAGTACTTATCTTGCAGGGACACATCGACAGAAGAATGACCACAAGTTATAACAACCATTAGCTAACAAAACTGGAATAGCCAAGGGAGAAAAGAATAAATTCCCTTTCCTCTTGGAAGAAGAAGATTTAAATTAATTACACTTATACAGGTTAAAAACCTTCCAGAAAAAGAATAATTTATTATACCATCAACAAGAAAAACACTGTACAAAAACCAATTCAAACCCATTGAGGACAAATATGTCTGTACCTCTTGGCGTCCACCAGAGCATGCCAACGAAAGCGGAGTATCCTTTGTGCGCTCAGACTGTGCTTCTATATCCCCACCTTTGTCTAGAAGAATTTCCACTACACCAACATGTCCAGCAGTTGCAGCCAGAATCAAAGGCGTAAAGCCTAGTAACAAGAGACCATGTTAAAAGCAACCTTGAGAATCTCAACAGTACTATTAAGGAGCAGAACTGCACAAAAGGGTTAATTCACAATGACTTCTATTGATCAGATATGTCTTCCTCAGACCGGGGTATCCTGGTATAGGCCACAATCTCAGAACCCTTCCTAACCTCTTCTGACCCTGACACATCTAGGCTCTGATTCCAGCCAAATATAATTAAGGCTCTTCAAAAGAAATCTAAATCCAAACTGATCAGTGCAAGTACTGGTAAGTTCCAGGCAACTAAATCTCTTCAGAGAAGTCATGGCTTTCCACTTAATTCCTATTTAATAAAGCTCCGACAAGTGAACACATCTGCACTGCAAGTGTTGCTTATTTCCAGTGGTCAATGTGAGTACCAAGGAAGGAGACATGGTGGCTTTGTTCTCACAGCTCAAAGATTTGAGATTTTGCTGAACTCTGTTACTGGGAACAATATGATACACAAACTGTCAACTAATCCCCATTAGCTTTGTCAGCCAAGATTTGACATTTACCCCCATTAGCCACTATCTAGTATGCTAAGGTCTTTTGTAGAAGGTGAATTCTAAGTACAAAAGTGCTTCACATTTCGCAAATCTGCTTAAGATACCACTCAGATGCACTTCCTTTCAAAAATACAGATACAAAGGCATGCAATGTCACTGGCTTTATATGGCCAATATTTCTGTATGAAGTGCAAGAATGCAATTCTACATTTTTGCAAGCTTTCGTAATTTTCTGAAGCAAAGAATCCCAAATTCCAATTTGAAATTTGCCGTTTTGAGTTATAGTTCACGGTCAAACTGTTTTACTGTTTTAGCTTACCCTTCTTGTCTCTGTGTTCAATATTGGCACCACGTGCTATCAGTACAGATACAAGTTCTTCATGACCTCCCGCACATGCAAGGGTCAGAGCAGTGTCATGATTACTTTCAGTCTTCATGGTTTGGAAGAAAAAGAAGCAGATATTCAGAAATTAAAAATACTTTAAGAGAACTTCAAAATTTTTAAGACAGTACTAGATTATTTTTTTTCCTTTCAGGACTTATCAGAAAGCAAATCCACTCAAAATCAATTGCAATTACTCACATGTGCATCGATGTCAACTGAAGGATACATAGGGAGCACTGACTGCGAGGGCACATTGCTCGATGCCTGTGAACAAGGCTCAGGTGTAGGGGATTCAGTAGTGTGCAGGGAGCTGGTGGAGCCACTGGGCACTCTGCTATTCACAGCTGAAAAGTAACACTGTGTTATTAATCCACTCTAATTATATGAAAAATATTTAGTCCCGTAAAACTGCAGCAGTCTAATATAAAAACAGTAATGGGGGAAAACAAATTAAGTGTTCTTAAAAACAAATGAGTTGGTGTCTTGAGCAAAGAAGCTTTCCAGCAGTTAAACAGTGTAAGTATCATCTCCAAACTGTGTTAAGTTACAAAATAATTTTATTAATTAGTCTGTATGCATTACAAGTATAAATCATGAAGATTATTAGCTATCCTTTTCAAATTGTAGTCTTCACTGTTAGAGTTCATCATATGCTCAGTCTAAGCAGGCAAATGATTTATCACTAAAACACAAACCTAGCGTTCAGAAATACAGTCTCATTCTGGAATTCAAAAGTTTTTCACATAAAGGTTAGTGCACACCTAGTCTCCAGAGAAGGTTTTCAAAGCAAGATGACTGACAGCACCTTACACCACTAACCATGTCTCAGAGTTAAAACAACCCAGGAAGGGTGGAAGAGAAGCAGACAGGAGGAGGCAGTCAATAAAAATAAGGAAGCTGAAAACTGTGCGCCCTAAAGTTTATTCCAAGCAATCCACAGCCCGTAAAAGATTTCATCCTGAAGATCTAGAGCATCTCAGGGACACAAGGAATGCAACTTTATCTTCCTTTTAAAAAAAAAAAAAATTGGTAATTGAGAATCAGATTTTATTCAACTAGTTTTAAATGAAGCTTTACCAGAACAAGCAGAGAATATCACTGCACATATATATTGTGGGGCCAAGACCTCTGCCTGCCTTTGTAACCAAATGAGAGTCCGAGGGGAGCCCAAACGAATCTAAGGCTCAGCTGAGATTACTTGGCAGGAAGGTCTAACAAACCTATCCACTAGCTATGTGTGCACTTAAACTACAGTAAGCCATGCTAATATAGCAGCTGGATTTGACAAGTAGTGTCACTGATAGATTGCCAATACTGTGCAGCTTCATTTTAGCTTGTTATTCCAAAACACAGTGTCTTGTAGTATTCTTGGAACAAGTAACTGATGGAAAACACTAACAACTGCAGGTAAGAAATAAGCAGCAGCATTTTGTTTTTGTCCGTGTGTTTCAAGCAATAAGGGAAGATGAAGGATGAACTCAAACCTACATGTGACTTAAAGAGAAATTTTTGCAAACCTTTCCCAGCTCAACCTTCCTGATTCCACTGAGAAATTATACACCAGGAATTACTCACAGGAAAATGGTGCAGATGGAAAAGTCTTAGAAAAATCCTCAACATGACCACTAACACCACTAATTCAGCCTATAGGACTGCATATGCATGACAAAGGAAGCAGACTGGAGCAAGTTTAGATGGGTCACTTCAGTTGGGTTCTGTAAACACGGGGGGCATTTGTCACTGAAATTTTGGGAGGTGACAGTTTTCAACTGTATTTAAGTAAAGCATTCTCCTTGGTGCACAGGCAAAAAAAAGCATTAACATTTGGTTACCACACTTAAGCAACAAAATATTGTATCTGAATTCAGAGTTGACTTTTGCTCACGTTACAACCTTCAAGAGCAAACCAGGTTTGTATTGAAAGTTTCAAATATAAAACCTCCCACACTTCATCTGCTTACTATGGATTACCACTTAGCAGCAGGTAAGCATTAATTAATGCAACACAATTGTTTTCTTGCTCAATGCACTGGAATGCAAGATACTAATTAGATTTCTAAAGATTGTTCCTTCCAAAATACAAGACAGCAAATCACCCTGTTAAGGACTTACATTAAATCAAATTGGTCCTTCCTCATGAAAGACACTGGCTCAATGCTTTCAGATCTTGCAGCTATACATATATCTAAAAACATGTGCATATGCTGTGCATACAAAGCAGGGGTGCGCAGAGGGACTCCACTTGAGCCAGTTTAAGGGTCCTAATATTCAGTGTTGCTGCTACACGTTCCACAAATTCTCTACATTTCACAACCAGGACTGAAAATGTCCAACTATTTCTTGCATACTTTAGACTTTCATCGTGTTTGAAATATATGAGCGTGGACAAAGCATTTCATGTGCACAATAACAACGATGTCAAATGTGAGAGAGAACACTAAAGGCAGTAGAAACGCAGATAAACCCTGTACTGATACCCCAAACTCGTTTAAAATAAAATCTAACAACAAATAGTCCTACAACACCCACTGGTTAATTATCCCCTCTATAACTACTGAGTTTACAGAACTGCAGGATTGTTTTAAAATGTAATTTTCTATTTCCTTAGTGTGGCTGGCAAGCTGACCCAATGGAACATCAAAGTAATTCGTGCTCTGCGGAGCAAAACGTGTCTGAGAACTTCTACCTCCAGTTTCATGAGGCTGGTTTAGCTCAGCTGAAGTTACACAACAACATATAGATTTTTAACTCAAAGATGACCTTGCAACAATGGTTCCAACATCCCTTTGCATACACATGAAATTGGAGTTAACTTGTATTTCCTCAAGTCCACTTCTGGATTATTGATCATGGGAGGCAGGACAGCTACTGCTCCTGCGAACCCCATCCAGGGAGACAAGGTCATGCTACCAACAGGACACAACAGGAGAGCCACCTCTCTGCTTCTGCCTCCCACTACCAGGAGGAGCTCAGCTGTGCCCTCAGGGATGGCTTCATCGGGCTGACATTGGCCCCACGAAAGTTGAGGACCTCTTGCTGATCACTAGTCAGGTCATAGTCACAGTGCCAGAAGCTAATGTGCAGTCTCCCTGAGGAGCAATACCACCACACCCACTACAGACTTTCATCTCAGTAACTGGCATTAATGCAGGAACAACTGCAGCACTGCAGCTCCGCAGTGGAGAGCAGCCCTAGCACTGCCCGTGACTCCAAGGGGAAAGGCTAGCTGGGAGGGCATAAAACCAATCGTGGGGGATGATCACCTTCAGCATCTCCATGCCATGCTGCAGGATTTTAATGGACTAGGAAAACAAGTAGCTTTCACCCTCTGAGAAGACAGGAGGAAAACTTTCCAACATGCAGATTGCTTCCAACTGAACAGGTATTTCTTTTCATTGGGAAGAGTACTGATAAAACAGGTGATACCCAGGCATTGATTAAAAAACCAAATAAAAATCAACTTTCACAATGTGTACCCCAGATCTTTATAAAACACCTATTTTGTGACATAGGTTTTGGATGTTTCTGTAGACTTCAATATTCAAGATTTGTATTAAAAAAATAATATTCTACACATGACAAAATCCAGGCTCCCAGCATTTTAAAAATGGCTTGCAACTTTCCAAAGGGACTTTCTTTGAATCAGTGTGAAGTCAAAGACAGGTCTCCAAAGACATGGATGACTATTTTCCAAAGTTATGAAAAAATATCACAGGAATGATGAGTAAACCAAAAGGAAGCAAGAACTTGGTAAGTACCACTCTGGAGGGATTGGCAGAACCTTGAGCAAGCAGCTCTGGATGAGATTGCAGCTGTAGTCTGAAACTGCATCTACCTAACCATTATCATGCCATGAGCATGGACATTCATGAATACTGGGTTTGGATTTCAGTTCCCCTTTCCTCAAAGGAACTGGGATTTTCAGGACAAAGTAAACAATCCTTTTTCATGACCGAGCAGTCTTTCAGCCTGTCCACGCAGCTTCTCAGTAACATGTTACTCCACAGAGGCTTTTGCACATTGGTAACTGCATTTCATTTTACAAGTCACCATTTCTCACTCCACATTATCCTAGTAACCTGTTTTAGTCCAAACAGCAATCCTAAAAACAGTAACTTAGATGTAACCTTCCAAATCATTACCTTAAAATGTCACAATTCTGCATAACTGACCACAACCAGAATTTCAGAACCAAGTAACAGTTAATAAAGTTTCTCAAAACACACCTGGAATTTCAGTATAGAAATGGCAGCTCGCAGGAGGAGAGTCAGACAGAAGCACACAGAAGTGCCACCTCCTGACTAAAATTACCAGCCAAGTAGAACAGGAATAAAAATATTCCAACTAGAGACAAAACCTAGCAACAAAGAAAGTTCCTCATCTTGAATACCCTAAAACAGCAAAAACCCCCCTCAATTCAGATACTGCCAACTAAGAAATCTATTACAGTAAATGCATAATGTGAACTGAAATGAAACTAACTATGCAAGACAAGACACTTCAAGGAACCAAATGTGTACTGAGTAATAAAAATTAGATCCCAACCATCCTCTTCTATCGGAAGATGTGATCCAAAATAATGTACTGCTTTCCCGCTCTAAACTGCATAATGTCTATATCTCTTTTGTAAACCCAATTAAAATTTTGACTGTACTAAGTCACACCTTCAGAGATAGGATTAGTTGCAAGATTTTTGCTTCAGCACGTCTACATAATCTCCATTACAACCAAAACGTTCTGGAGTGGAAAGAGCTGCTTCTTTTTTAGGTTTTATTTGACTTTCCAAAGGTTACTCTGTGTAGTTTTATGAAAGAGGGGACTCGGATACATGTCTACTAGTGACTGACTGCCAGCAAGACTTCCAGCACTTTGCACTTTGGTATCAATCATCTCAACACCTACCAGCTGACAAATTATGCCAGCAGACTGGCAAGATAAATACTCCATTTATGTATGGTGTCACAATTTAGTCAGTCAGCAAAATAAAGATTTGAAGCTTTGTAGAAATGCAAGTTCTCCCTTACAACTAAGTCTCAACTGAGGCTTTGAAACATTTACCTCTTACATCACCACTGGTAAGAGCAACAGTAAAAGGTATTTCAGAGCAGAGGGCAAAAAGCCAGTTTAACATTTCTTGTTTTTCTGAAGTAGACCAAATAAAAACTGGAATACTCAGCA